TTCTTATCATTATAATGTCCTTCAAGGCTATGTAGATTGACCGAAAGGTTTTCTTATCATTTTTCAGCAAAATGTTTTCCTAATTTATAAATTCCCAATGTCCGAGTCACAAGTTTCTTGTCTTGCTGGTAATGTCCAAGGACAAAAAGATAAGATTAATGTCCAAGGAATCTTCAATTTCCAGGTCCATGTCCAAGTATCTACATTGAGTTAAATTAAATCAAAAGCAGAATTTCTTCAAAATTTTCAGTGCCGGGATGCCTTCTGTAGATGAGTACATTTATGCACTTTTTTTTTTTTTTTTTTTTTTCAATAGGGAAAAGATGAGATTTAAGAAGTTGGGAGGGGGAAGGGGGAATTTGGATTCAGATTTCCAATTCCTAGAACATCAACCTCGAGAACATTTTTGCACTTGCTCGTGAGCATACTTTTTCTGGAAGATTGTTTTTGCATCCCACTTCTCTCCTCCACCAACGCTCCATAAATAGTTGTTACGATTGGTCTTGGACAATCTTGAAGTGTTTCCTAACTTGGTGTTTTTAAGAGCCAGTAAGTTACAGTAAATCGGCTATTCCCTATTTGGAATGCTTAGTTAACTTCTGACTCTTGCACCAACGTCTTAACACTGTAATCACATCGATTAGCAATGATTAATGCATTGTTAAATTGTCCTCAATGAACAAATTACTAGACGAAGATTAATTTTGTGAGGGAAAAGAGCCAAATTGATGTTGCAGGATTATCTGATTCCTCTTGGTTCTAAATGATTCTGACATAAAAATTTTACCTTGAAGGGGACTATTGTTTTGTGGTTGACAACTATGATTCCCCAAGCAAGGCCTCCTCCATGTAATGAATCCAGCAACAGTTGCACCTCAGCAACATCTTTCCAACTCTTTATGCTATTCACATCCTTTATTCTCCTATCCGTTGGAGCTGGAGGCATCAGGTCTGCTTCCTTGGCCTTTGGTGCAGATCAATTCGAGAAAAGAGATGGAAAGAAAGATGCAGTCTTGTTACAGAGATATTTTAGCTGGTATTATGTGTCGTATTCGTTATCTCTTGTCCTTGCTTTGACCTGTATGGTGTACATTCAAGATCAAATGGGGTGGCAAATTGGTTTTGGAGCTTCAGTGGTGGTTATGTTTTTTGCAGCTTTTCTGTTTTTTCTGGCTTCCCCCATCTACATCAAGGTAAAGGCTAAAGTAACCTTATTCACTGAACTTGTTCAAGTGATTGTAGCCTCTTATAAAAATAAATCTCGCAAGTTATTATCGAGTAGCAGTACCGAGATGTTGTACCATCACAAGAACGGCTCAATGCTGGTTTTTCCTAGTGAAAAGATGAGGTGAGAACTTTTTGTCACTCACTATTTCATTCAAATACATGTTTATAAACATAGTACTGTGGGCTGTTTCTGAAACTAACCTGAATTTTGTTTGTTAGGTTTCTAAACAAAGCTTGCATAATCCACGATCCCGAGCAAGATCTTACCCCTGATGGAAGAGCTAAGAACCCCTGGAATCTTTGCACAGTGGATCAGGTAGAGGATCTGAAAGCACTACTTAAGGTGATCCCAATATGGTTGTCAGGAATAGTGACATTTATCAATATTAACCAGACCTCTTTTTCGGTACTTCAAGCAAGTTCCATGGATCGCAAGATCATAGGGAATTTCGAAATTCCAGCAGGTTCTTTTGGTATATTTAATATCATTTCTATGATACTCTGGGTTGCTTTTTATGATCAAGTGCTTCTGCCGATAGCAGCAAGAATCAAGGGGAAACCTGTTTACCTCACTGCAAGACAAAGAATGGGAATTGGAACGTTTATCTCCTTTCTCTCCGTGGTTGTAACAGCAACCGTGGAATGTATTCGTCTTAGTCTTGCATTTAAGGAAGGAATTTCAGATGATCCAGAGGCAATAGTGCACATGTCAGCTCTATGGCTTTTGCCCCAATATTGCCTGATAGGATTGACTCTGGGTTTGAGTGCTATCGCGCAGAATGAGTTTTTCATTTCAGAACTCCCCAGAAGCATGTCAAGTATGGCTTCTACTCTCTGTGGAGTTGGAATTTCTCTAGGATGTTTGGTAGCAAGTTTTATAATGAGTGCTATTGATGATTTTACAAAAAGAGGTGGCGGGGAGAGCTGGATTTCTACCAACATTAACAAGGGTCATTATGATTATTATTTTTGGGTTCTTTCTGGTTTAAGTTTGGCAAACTTCTTTTTCTTCCTGATCTGCTGTTGGACCTATGGACCTTGTAGAGGGGAGGAAGGCAATGTTAATGATGAAGAAGTTTCCTTGCGTTAGAAAATAAAATTCAATGAAGAAGAAGCTTCCCACTGGAGTGTCAAGACATCTTGACGATCGAAACTGGTTTCATATGGAAGTCGTACATATGAAACAAAATTTGATCTGCCATCTTTACTAGCTTTTCTCCTCTCCTTGCGGTGCTGTATCAAAGCTCTTTTCTGCATGACGTGCTTCTCGTCTAGGGCTGTCACATCTCCAAGTTAACACTACGAGCGCGATCGAATTTCTCGACACCAGCCTTTGTTGTTCCTCATTGTTGCAAAGCCTCTAGCGGTTTGTAACGGAGATTTTAACAAAGTTAGCAAGAGCTCTCCAAACCCAGAGGAGATTCGATCTGTAACAAAGCAAAGAGAAAATAAAAATAGAGATACAATTTTACGTGTGTGATTCGATCGAATGACCGGGCAAAGATCTAGGAATTTACAGGGTTCTTCTCTTGATGTCTACTTGAACAGTCCCTAATTTGAGTTATATGAGCAAGTGACCCCGTTAAAGAACTCGAGCATTCAACCTTCAAGAATGAGGCAAATGCACACCCCTGGTAATTAGTTGTGAGTTGAAACTCGCAATGAATCTTCTGTCCCACGCCCTGTGTCACTCTCTGTCTCATTTTATTCAATTTATTATATGTTGTAAGTCATACATCACATAATTAATAGGTCTTATTTTAATCATTTATTATATACCGTCTCATATAATTTATACACCACATCATCAACAAGATACGTAGTAGTATAGGGTCAAGATTGGCCAAAAGTGATAGATCATCTCCTAATATTTAGTCAAGTAATAGGTCTTATTTTAGTCATTTATTGTGTGTCACTTCATGTAAGTAACAAGCCACATATTGAATAGGAATATTTAGTCAAGTAATAGGTCTTATTTTAGTCATTTATTGTGTGTCATTTCATGTAAGTAACAAGCCACATATTGAATAGGTCTTATATGTTTTATTTAATTTATTATATGTTGTAAGTTATACATCATCTATGATTAATAGGTTTTATTTTAATCATTTATTATATGTGGTCTCATATAAGTTATATACCACATCATCAAGAAGATACGTGGAGTAGCATCAAGATTGGCCAAAAGTGATTTTTGTTTTTTGTGCAATAATAAGATTGTGATTCCAAATTATAAGTTGGGTTTTAAGTGTGGTTAAAAGGGAATATATATATATATATATATATATTATATATATATAATTATTTCAATAAATTATACTAAACAATCCCGGCTTAATTATAATCGTTTGAGCCTTTGATCCTTGACATTGTAAGTTGTAAGACGGGGGATATTTTCAATATCTAAATTCCTTGTTGCTCATATTTTGCTCCCTATGTATTCGTTAGAGTTTTTTGTTCATTTCTCATAGACTTTCCATTTTAATTAACTTGTACACCACTGCCAAAACGTATAAATTGAAATTACCACTGCTAAAAGAAAGAGATTTTATCAGTATGAGATAATTTTATACATTTATTTCACCAATGTATCTTATATTTAACCAGTTGAGAACATTAGGTATTTGAGATGTGGAATTTAAATTTCCACAAATTTAAACACAATGAAGTCATGTCTCTTGCAAAATGGAGCAGGGATTCGACCATGGCAGTGCTGCCAATCCAAGAACAAGGTGCAAGAAATATTGCACGTTAAATTTTGGCCATTTCTGGCTCAAAAATTAATTTGGAAAGATGAATTGGTTATCAACTTATAAAATGTTTTTACACAATATCACGTGTGGTTCGATAGCAGATTATTTGTAGAAAATTTTAAAATAATGTTGTAGTAGTTTTTGTGATTTGATGTACGTAAAATATAAATTTGATTAAAAATAAAAAATAATTAAAAAATGTCAATAATGCAATCAAAAAATATTTTTAAAATAACGAAGTTCAAGTTTGTTTGATTGTGAATTATTTTCAAAAATTTATTTGTTTGCATCATTAACACATTTTTTAGCCACCATTTTATCTTACATACATCACATTAAAAAAAAAAGTGTTAAAGTATTTTTTTTTTTCAAAAAATTATCCCAAATAATCTATCATCCAAACACATTTGGATACCTTTTTCCTTGTAAAAAATTTTGATTATTGTTCATTATCCATTTATTTCTTTAGTGTGTATTCTTTGTATTTGTTTGCATTAAACTCACCTTTTCGCATAATTATAAGTGTTTCAATAATTTGATTTCAGTCACAATAATTGCATAGCCTCTGATTTAAGCCATTCCAGCAAATTGTTTTTTTTTGCACCCAAGGCCAAATTGATGACAAAATTTGATTGATTGCGATCACATATGCTCATTTCTGCGCTACATACACTAGAGACAATTTCACATAGCTCCCCTTATATTCAACGTAATTGCAGAAAATTCCCCTCTAATTATTTTAATAACATATAGACCCCCAAATTCTCATTCAATTTTTTTTGGACTTAAAAGAAGTTTTAGAATTAGAACTAGAAGAGCACAAACATGCCTCTCAGCAGATTTTCCATCTTACATTTACTTAGAAAACTGCTACAGTAACAAAGAAAACCAATCCCCCGCTTCCCCCAACCCCAACACCAAAAACAAAAAAGAAGAAAAAGTCAAACTTGTTGCTACATTTAAAATTCCGTTATTTTCATACCTGTTTCTTCACTTCTTGCTTTCTGACCATGGAAGAGACAAGCTAAAAGTCCTCCTTTGAGAAGTATCTTGTTTTGATGAAAGTCTTTACTTCAACTGGCACAGTATACTTGACACCAAAAAGAAAACTAACACAATAGTCTAGTTCTACTCTGCAAAGAAACTGTTGATGGAAGCAGAGGAGATGGACATCAATCCAGAAGAAGAGAGTTTACTTGGTCATTCTCCACCAAGAAGGACAAAGGGAGGTCTCAAAACCATGCCTTTTATCATAGGTAAGCAAGCCCATGTTATCTTGGAGTTGCATTTATCTTTATTGGACTGAAGTTTTGATCTTTTTCTTTCACCCTTTTTGGGTTTATCTATTTTGCAGTGAATGAAGCATTTGAGAGGGTGGCAAGCCAGGGGCTAATGCCAAACATGATACTCTACTTGACAAGAATCTATCATTTTCAAACTGTCACTGCTTCAAGTATACTCTTTATCTGGTCTGCTCTGTCCAATGGTTTGGCCTCTTTGGTGCTTTTCTGTCAGATTCTTATTTGGGTCGGTTCCGGGTCATTTTTCTTGGATCCTTCTCCAGCCTTCTTGTGAGTCCCTTGTAACTTTTTCTGTGTTTGGTGATCAATTTAGTCTATTATGTTTGTTTGTTTTTAAGTAAAATTTGCGTCTTTGAAATAGCCCAAGTTTTGTTATTATGTTAAATTGTTGTGGAATTACTCATCTGTGCATGATTTTGAGCCAACATTTGCAAGTTTTGTGTATAAAAATAAACAATGAAGCGATTCTATTGCTGTTTCTTGATAACATCTTTCTTTAGGGAATTGGGAATTTGATGACTGAGGAATGTAATTAATTTGGTCCAAATCAAAAGTTCTTCCTATCATTGTTGTCAATGTTAAATTTTCTTGGAGTTAACTATTATAGTAAAGAAGAATCAGGGTCAATTCCAGTGCAAATTGAACCTATTCAACTAATTAGCACCAGATGCTACTACTTATTCACCCTTAAATTACAAAAATTTAGGGGCAGTTTTCTTGATGTTGAAGAAGATGAAACAAGCCTTGGTAAATTAACTGATGGATGGAAAATGTAGAATACCTGCACCGTGATTCTGCTATACGCATAAATCAGCATAATGTCTTATTAAGGTAAATGAATGCGAAGAAAGGAGTGAAATTCAGATTTGAGTTGCTTGAGAGGTGAATTTTGAGTGGCTGCTTTGAGGTATGTCCACTAACTTATCTAAGCTTTATTTTGAAGATGATAGATTACTATATTAACACTATAATATATTGTCAATACAGAGTTTCTGAAGAAAAGTAGAGTCTGTACAGCTAGCCTGTAAGAAGAAAACCAATAGATCAAACAAAATCTCTAGAAGGTTGCTTTACTTTTTGTCTTAGCCACAGTTACAGAGAGCTCAAAGCCAAATAATTTCTCTTGAATATGTTGCTTTATGCGCATGTGCAACTCCAAGTCATCAGAATTTGCACAAATTTGTGACTAATCAATTGCCCAAATTATTTGTATGGATGTGCCTCCTAAGGGGCTGCATTAAAAGGTTCCTCCTCTCAATATCCTGCAAAAGGAAAGCTATCTTGAAGATTAGCTGATAGGATTGATAAAGTAAAATAGACAGGAAATATTAGTTGGATACCAGGTTAACTTTGGCTGAGAACTTTTCAACCTTTTGTTGAATTAGAGACAGATTTATCATAGATGAAATGCTTGTAATGTATCCTTGTGAAGCAATTAGGCTGCTTGTTTGCCGAAGTAGAAATGTTGATTATGTACTAGTGCTGTCACATATGCATGCAGACAATCTGTTTGACTGTGCAATGACATCATACGATTTGGTAACATACAACTATCAACATATAAGCTTCTAAGCATCATTAGGAAAGGCGGAATAGAAATATGACAAGAATAGTTGCTTTTGGATCCATATGTAAAAGAGAATCTGTAAAGTACGATCATCTCAATGCTGTCATATCTAGTACTGGTATGCATGTAGTTATTGGTATGCCCGATAGGGCATTTGTCTTTTTATGGTGTTGATATGTCATAAATATTTGGTATTAGGGTAAGATTATGGGGATTGAAATCTCTGTCCGCTTTTTGGTTGAAAAATCAATATATTGTCTGTTTGTGCAGGGAATGATTCTTCTGTGGCTGACTGCTGTGGTTCCACAATTGCAGCCTTTATCTTGTGACCAGTTGAAGCACAAGTGCAGTGCTCCAAATGGAGCTCAAATCATTCCCTTGTTGTCTTCATTTTTGCTAATGTCTGTTGGAGCTGGTTGTATTAGGCCTTGTTCTGTTGTTTTTGGTGCGCGACCAATTTGACAACAAACAAAATCCCAATAATGAGAGGGTTCTAGAAACTTATTTCAACTGGTATTATGCTTCTACAGCAATCTCAACTCTTCTTGCCATGACTGTTATTGTTTACATCCAGGATCATTTGGTGGTCAGTTGGATTTGGAATCCCTGCCATTCTCATGGTTTTCTCTGCTCTGATGTTCATAATTGGCTCCTCTCTTTACATCAAAGCAAAACCTAGTGAGAGCTTGTTTACTGGATTTTTTCAAGTCCTTGTGGCAGCTTTAGAAAGAGAGAGATTCAATACCCTTTGACGAAGAATACAAGTGTTACCATAGAACCGGCAGTCGAAGCTTCTATCACCCACTGAGGAGTTCAGGTACAGCTGCTACATTTTTAGATGCCATTACATTAGTAAAGTTTCTCAAACTCTTGAGACTTTTAGATATGTTGATATTGACACCCTCTGACACAGACTGCCAGTCAGTTTTTAGAGAATACACTGCAGTTAGTATGATTGTTTACAATAATTGGATGTTAATTGGATAATCAAAACATTTGTATCAATCTGGATCTTGCTCGGAAACGTAGTTATCAGACAGAGGAGTTGCTTTCTCCTTGTGAGAGCAAGAAATAAAAATACTTTTTGCTTGATCAGTATAGCTTACAATAAAAATCACTTTGACATTTTTTCAAGTAGGATCCTTGGTTGTTTTACTTGATGCTTTAGCACTGGTAACAGGTGTTTAAATAAGGCTTGTGTTGTTCAAGACCCCGACACAGAGTTAACTTCAGATGGATTAGCTTCAAATCCATGGAGACTCTGCAGTGTGGAACAACTTGAATCACTCAGGCTCTTCTCAAAGTTATACCCATGTGGTCCACGGCCTTGTACTTATAGTGACCATAGACCAAGGTTTTCTAACACTTCAAGCAAATTCCATGGATAGGCACTTATTCTCACCAATTTTGAAATTCCTGCAGGATCCTTTAGTCTGTTCATGATAATTACTTTAACAATTTGGGTCGCATTTATGATCGTGTACGCACTGCTATTGGCGAGATATACTGGTAATCCGCAAGGACTAAGTCCCATAGTACGGATGGGCATGGGCTGGTTATGTCATTTATCGCAATGGTATTGGCAAGGTGTAGTCGAGAGCATAAAGGCTGAAAAAGCAGTTGAGGATGGGGTTTGAGGATGATCCTGATGCTGTCCTGGACATGTCTGCTATGTGGTTAGTGCCACAGACGGTATGCATTGGATTGGCTGAAGCTTTATTCGCAATTGGACAGATACAGTTCTTTTACATGCTGTTCCCAAGAGCATGTCCAGTGTTGGAGTGGCTATGTTCCATTGGAGATGGCTCTGGCTAGCCTGATTGGAAGTCTTCTGGTGAATATTATCAATAGCATTACTAGTCATGGTGGAAAGCAAGCTGGTTGGCCAACAACCTGAATGAAGGTCATCTTGACTACTATTATTGGCTGCTTGGCTTCTTAAACTTAATCAACCTTTTCTATTTTCTCTTTGCTGCCGATTCTATAAATCTCATCACAACAGCAACATGCTGTCTAAAAAAGTACCAGAAAAAGAATCTGGTTATACTCCTTTGCCTTCAGCTTGATGAATATATAATACTAATGTGGGTTTGTTTGGATTGAGCATTATTTTCCCAATTTTTTGCTTACATTATTATTACAATTTTCAATACACCTTTTATCTTCTCCATTACCTTTTTATCTCACATACATCACGTCACAAAAAGTGCTACAGTAAAAATATTCCAAATAAATTACAATTCAAACAAACCCATTGTCCCTCTACAATTTATGTATCTGCAGTGATTACAACAAATCTAGCAATAAATACGCTGAATGTAGTGAAATAATCTTTAGGGATAATTGCATAAACCTCTCTTGAGGTTTCTGATATTTGCACTGACCTCACCATATAGTTTGGAAAATTACACTAACCTCCCTGAGGTTACTAATCCTTTGCAAATTTAGTCCAAACGATTAAAATATTGTTTTAGGGAGTGAAATTAGAATTTTGTACCAGATTTGTCCTTTGTGCTACATGTCCAATGAATGATAAAGTATTATAAATCAATTAACAATTAATAAACTTTAAGGAGTATAATTTATGGGCCAATACGCATTACTTATTTAAAGTACCGCGCTCTTTACGGGTATTTTACTTTCAAACATTTAATTTATGATATATATCAATATTTGTAAGTAAAATTCCAAAAGTGTTATAATAATATTCTTGCAAAAAGGAAATCAGTAGGTTATTTATTTAATATAAATTAAATATTTTTTTAAAAAAAAAAGAAATGGCCGCCATAAAGTATTAATTCTTTATGACTTTCATCCATTACATAAGTAAAGTATTCGTTCTTTATGTGCATTTTTCTGAATCATTTAATTTATATTAACTACATAAATGTTGTAACTAAAATTGAAAAAATGTTATATTAATATTTTACGGGAAGAGAGGAGGTGGTTTGTATTTAATAAAAAAAATATTTGAAAGTAAATACAAATATGTATTTGAGCGTAAATATTTGTATTAAATTAAATGTTTAAAAGTAAAAACTGTAAAGAGCCGGTACTTTAAATAGTTACCGACTCTTTATGGGCAAACACGCATTATTCATTTAAAGTGCGACTTTTTATGGATATTTTATTTTCAAACATTTAATTTATGATAATATATCAATGTTTGTAAGTAAAATTTAAAATGTGTTACAATAATATTCTTGCAAAAATGAAATCGGTAGGTTACTTATTTAATATAAATTAAATATTTTTTAAAAAAAAGAAATGATTCATAAAGTATTAATTCTTTATGACTTTTATCCATTACATGAGTAAAGTATTGGCTCTTTATGGGTATTTTATTCTAAATCATTTAATTTATATTAATACATAAATGGTTATAACTAAAATTGAAAAAGTGTATATTAATATTCTTACGGAAGAGAGATTGGTAGTTTTTGTATTTAACAAAAATTTATTTGAAAGTAAATACAAATCTGTATTTGAGCGTAAATAGTTGTATTAAATTAAATGTGTGAAAGTAAAATACCCGTAAGAGCCGGTACTTTTAAATAGGTAATGCTTATTTGCCTATAAACTATATTCCTTAAAGTTTATTAATTGTTAATTGATTTGTAGTATTTTGTCATTCATTGGCGTGTAGTACAAAGGACAGATTTAGTACAAAATTCGAATTTCACTCTCTAAAACAATATTTTAATCGTTTGGACTGAATTTGTAAAGGATTAGTAACCTCAGGGGAGGTTAGTGTAATTTTTCAAACCACAGGGAAGGTCAGTGCAAATGTCAGAAACCACAGGGGAGGTTTCTGCAATTATCCCAATCTTTATCACTACTACTGTTGCTTACTTCTGCTCCTTATGCTGTTACTCTGAGAAAAGAGTTTGTACCTAAAACTCTGCACGTACATTCCTTATTTGGATAATTTTGGATGCGAGCCTTTGAGTTTGATTTGCCCAATTTAACTATTAGAGCAGATGTGGCTAGCAAACAATTATGCTTGCAAATTAGAAAACAAATGCTTGGGGATTGTAGGACTATTTGGTACAATTATAAGATTTTGGGGACCAAGGGGTATTACCTTAAACTCTTTGGGTTGGGGGGAAGGATACTAAAACGAGACATGAAATACATTACAGCGCCAATTTGCTTTTGCAGTACTAATAAGGTTCGGAGTTTTAGTATATTGTAAAGTACATTCATATCCTCACATGCGTATGCACAGGAAGTCTGTGACAGATGCATAAAACCAGAGACCTTTGGATGCGAGCCTTTGAAGTCTGTATGGCACATCATTTTGCAAACAACGTATTCAATTTTTTCTTGTGTTTGTTAAGTCCATTTTTTCACAATTTGCACCACCTTTATGTTGGATGGTAGCATCGCTTTACACTAAGGTGATGCTTAAGCTGCTTCTATTGTTTTGGTTTTTGGCAAGTCCACATTCACAATTGGCACCACCTTTGTGTTGAACACTACTACTCTTTTACCTAAGGTGATGTTTAATTTGCTAATTCCTTGTATCACCAACACTACAGACTAATATATTTTCCATTCAAGAGATTTTACATGGGCATTGAGCCTTTTGCATTCCAATATATTGGCACATTCTCTGCAATCTGAAATTATTAGGAATTTTCCCTAGAAAAGGAATGATCAGAATTTTCTAAAATGACTTTACACCCATACACTATATGCTTTTGCATTTTGAGGAAAAGCCTTAAATTTGCTCGTTCCATGATGCCTACAATGTGAGATGCTCATTTCTTCGTAATCCAACTTAACTAGTAGTGCATCAGCCAGTTACCCTAAGGTCTCTGGTTCAAATTTCAAATCTTCCTCTGTCTCTCTTGTAAGGCTTAGAGTCTCGCCTTGAACAAAGTAATAATAATAAAATGATAAATAAATAAAGGTTTATTTAACGTGTGTGTATTGGACACTGGTCAAGATGAATTTCAGGCGTTAGGTTTTTGGAAAGGTAAGATTAATTAAGAAAAGTACATAAATGCAAAGGAAGGTAATAATTATTAGTGTGGGTATATGCATGATAGGTTAAATGAATAATCAACCCCAAGTTAAACAAGTTTGCCTTGCTTAATGACAGGGTTCGGCAGCTGTGGACTCCATGACCTCCGGAATGTCTGGCTGTAGATGGACCGATAAAATTTATTTTGAAGGTGCTAATTTTAACATATTTACACTTGAATAAAAATAGAACATTTTCAATTTTTAGCAAGGACAAAATTTAAATTTATGAAAAATACTTTTAAACTTTTGAGAGCGCCTTTGTCACTAGTTATTCTTAAGATTGCAAACGAGTTGAGTCGAGTTTTGACCTAATTGAGTTGAATCTTGACTTAGTTTTATCAAGTTCGAACTCAATGAGCTGCCAATTTAAAGCTCGAGCTCGAGCTCGACTCAAATTCAAATAATTATTATAT